TATGAGCATTTTTATCAGCGAGACAATCGTCATCGCGACGACAATTTGATTAAACGGCCCGAAAAGACCTTTACAAAATTTTTCTCATGCAGGAAACGCCAATTTGCCGTAGACACGTTCGAGGACAATACAAAACACGAAATCGTATGAGTGCGTCAGATCTGCTGGTGAGGAGGCATATAACCTTTACCGCAGCAGTGAAAGCTGCTTAGTATCAATATGAAATTCCATTTCTAAATCTTTGACGTCATAGATTTGAGCGAGGCCGTTGTTTAAGCTCTGCTAATCTTTGATGAAGATCACATGACAATGGCAACAGGAATGATAACAAAATTCGCCATTTTCTCGTTGATAATTTTTTAAAATTTTTAAAATACCTTCCAGTCGTAGTCAAGACCAGGTTGAGGTTGCAGTGGCGATGGCTGGGTAGTCAGATGGCCTGACTTTCTTTCAAATCGCTTCTCGGCATCTCATATAAAAGACATGACCAAACAATTGCTCGTACGGTAAATATGCGACTACAACGATCAGAATAACAGTAATTTTTCGACGTGGGTAGGTCCTTCGAAGAAGAACCAGGTCAATTTCATGGATATGTTCAACTAAATATGAACCGGGAAGAGCGATTTTCAACGTCTGAAAGATTTGCGTGGTGCAGTGGTTTCGTTAAGTTGCTTTGATTAATTTTATCCATTACCGCTTTGTCGTTTATGCGAAACACTGAGCTATAAAATTGAGCTGACCGGTAAATAGGCGGTCAAATCGAAAGACTGCCACTTTCGAATGAGCAAGGCGAATCAGTTTCAGCCCAAACCAAACTATGGACAGCGATAGAACACACATACAAATGATCCACATAACTGTGCCGTAAGTATGTTATTTCTTCCTGTTAAGCAAACTTCTTATATATACTACAATGAGCAAAATTCTAAAATACCTGGGGGAGATTATAAGTGAACAGCAGCCCGGATTAGCACAGCCAAATAATGCTGGAATAAGAAATATTCACAATTGACATGGAAAAAAGTTTGGGGTTAAATTCTCTGATACGCCCATTGATTTTACCAAAGCCTTGAATAAATCTGAAAGACGTCTTGTTGGAAATTATTGAACAATATGGAATTTTACCAAACATTCTTTGTAAGCAAACAAACAAACAAATCTAATAAGAAACTGTTAAGATATGAGCTTTCATCCTGTACAGTACGAATTGATCAGCAGGTTCGGCAAATGTTTTCATGCAAAATTCAGAGTAAGATAAGGAAAAATGTAATCTCGTCTATTATTTTCGATGTTCCTTGAAGGAGGTATTTTAAACAATACGTTTAATTGAAGTTGTGATCGCAGCAAGAGTGGATAATACGTGCGTAGTCTTTCTCGCACTTGCGAATTACAGCGTTTTTCTTTATCACCGTTTCTAGCCCTGAAACAGGGGTGTTCCATTCTGGATCTCTCGATTAACCAAAAAATAATGAAATGAATCGAAATTAGTAGAACCCATGCCAACGTCTGTCTGACCCTTGAAGCCGAAATTGAGGAACACGTGCCAGAACATCTGTGTCTTAAGAGCACATTGACTGAAGCAGGAGGAGCTTGAGAATCGTGGACATTGATGTTAGCTGATTATTTAAGCTGTGGAAAGACCAAGATGCTGTAAATGGGACAAAGCTGCGGATATATAGAGACTGCATTCTGAATATATTGCTCTATGAATTGAAAACGGCGGAACTTAACAAAGCGACAGAAATCAATATTCTAAGGTCACATCAGAAATGAAATTGTATGTTGTCATAACAGATATTTGAATAATGAACTAAAGTGGCCGATTGACTGCAAACAGTGTGTTTAATATGGTGGAGCCACTGCCAACGAATGAACGGTATCCGCATTGCAAAGCGGACACTGAACGTAAAGCCTGACGGCAGGCAGCCACCAAGAAGATCATTAACGTGAGGAAAAGAGCTCGCCAAACCTGCATGGCATCAAAAGGACTCAATAATGAATACGAGCTCATTCGATCAAGGTGGAATACATGAGCGGAAGCCGGCGTCGTAGTCGAGGTACTCTAAGAAGAAGAATATATATAGGTGACGGTTCAATGGCCATGGGCAAATTGAATATACCATATTGAAAATCGTTATTTTTTGCCCTCATAATAGCCTATGGTATTTGATTGAAACTTCGCATTTACAATCAAGAGTTTCTCAACTGTTAACTACTGGTGTTTATAATCTTCAAAACATTCCTCTTATAAAAAAACCTGGAATTTAGCTGAGATTTAGAAATCATATACATACACATGTAGCGTTTGAATATTTCGAAATTTACATGTATAAATAATATATAACGTAATGAAGTATAACATAATAAGATATATATATCGCATAAAATGTTCTTTAATTAGAGACATCTCACATTTCGGATCAAACTTGGTCCGTCTTCAGAGTACATTAACAAGGACACGTAAATTTTCTCCTTATATTACTGGTGCCGTGCTTGTTTACTGGTTTTGATTGGCCGCCTGATGTTTACGGTCCATGCGTCGTTGTCCGTATACAGATACATATCGTTCGTAGTTCTGTTATTTTAGTATTTGAAGTGCTTTCATTATAATTTCTGCTTCTAGCAACTTTTCACCGTACCTGTGGCTGACGACGGTTACGTTTGAGCTGATTGGCGGAACAGGTGTGAGCATTTGCTACACTACTGGAATGGTAGCCGTCGCACAGTATTTCTGCCGGAAACGAGGGATTGCCACTGGCATGACGTTAGCGGGAAGTGGTTTCGGAACGGTTGCCCTCCCGCCTCTGGTAGGATATCTTTTGAACACTTATCGCTGGAACGGAGCGGTACTCCTGCTATCAGGAATAGCCCTTGACATGGTACTCAGCGCCTCACTGTTGCGAGATCTGAGACATTCTCCAGGTATGCTACTTGTCCTTGGTCAGGTTGTAATCACCAACTGCCTACGGTCGTGGTTTTGCATAGGAAAACGACAGAAGACACCACCGCTAACGACAAAGTCTGCTACCTCAACCAGCGTTTTGGCAAAAATGCTGCTTTCCCCTTTGCCAATCTCTTTTGTTTCAGCACCCTCCAGCTTAGCTGCTGTACCTGTTTTGGCTAAGAAGTCTCAGTCAGATCTTCGGATTGTTCGCTTTTGGATACAAATTCCTTCAAACAGTCAATCGTACTCAGTCCAGCCCTGACGATGCTGCGGTCTGTGCAGTGAAACATATTGGCATTAAACTTTTCACCATCTGCTGTATTTGGTGCCCTGAACCATGAATCACTC